GACATTAAATTAAATCTCATTAACGGCACAGTGGAAGGGTAAAAGAAAACATTGTGTGTTACGATATGTCAAACCTATAAGTATCAAACATGTGTTGTTTAGTAACTCATCGTCTGAAGGTCTTTTCGACAATAAAAACACGTTTAGCAGTTGGCGTTGCAGGTCACGCAAAATTTAGAATACCGAGATGTCAATCTGGTTTCACTCAATAAGGAGGAAAAGAGAAAAAAAAAAAGATCATTTGGTTAGACCCAACCCAATTCAATCTGCATGTGAGAACCAAAATTGGCCAGAAAGTCTTTACCATATTGAGCAGGTACATTCCGATAAACAGAGCACTTCATAAACTCTTTAATAAGAATACTATAAACATCAGTTCTCGTACGAGGCCCAACATGGAGAAGATCCTTTAAGAGGTCATAATCAGTAGGTGTTGAGGGGTAAGATCATGCCTTATATAGATAATATAAATATGCGCAATTGTCGTAAAGACAACAGTTGCCCCTTAAATGGCCAGTATTTGACTGATAACGTTGTTTACAATGCTGAAGTAAAGGTAGAATTCCTCCCCGCGATGACATATATTGGCTGAGACAAGTGCGCGTTCAAAAGGAGGTACAACAACTATGTAACATCTTTCAGGTTGAGAAAATATTGCAATCGTACCGCCCTGTTGAATGAACTCTCAACTCTATGGAGTATAGCGAATAAACGTTAGAAGTACACAGGTCTGGTGGTAAATTTTGTAAATTGTGCAAGGTAGAGAAATTTTGATGTTTGCATATCGGCGTTTTCTATTAAATAAGAGAGACAAAATTATGACGAGGTGTCGCCACACTATAATCTACCTAACATAGATGAAATTCACATCCGGGGGAGTTAGCGTGGTGTGGAGAAGAAACTTCGTCCATATTTATGTCCGACACCACGAGCTAAGTAGGATTAACATTGGAACTGGCCTGACGATCCCAATGCAATCTTCATACCATGACTGATAGTAGACTCTAAATATGCATCACTGAGGGAATTAAAGAAGTGTGGGAAGCAAAAAATCGGTTCTTCACAATCCCTTTTATTAGGGCTACTATCTAAGGTCATGACCTCTAGATTGCTTATTTATATATGTCTTTCTTTTATTATTTTCTGTATTTAGATATTTCATTTATTTGTTTTGGATATTTCTTTATCGTTTATATTTCTTTGGTTCTAAGATTCCAAAATCGTTACTGTCAAAAGAAACGCTATATCTTTGATAATTAAAAGCAAGGAACTGATTCCTGTTCAAAATCTGATGCTTGGTCTGTTGGTCAAATTCTACGAAGAGCGTCGATGCCAAAAAATTTCAGAACGCACCTAGTATCACTTTTTCTCTAAATATCTTTTCCTCTCTCTCTCTCTCTCTCTCTATATATATATATATATATATATATATATATATATATATATATATATGTGTGTGTGTGTGTATGTCTATACGGGTGTGTGTGTGTATTTGTGTGTGTGCGTATGTACTTGTATTCATGTTTCTGATACATCTCATTGTTTAACATCTGTGTTCGTATTCCTCATATATCGACTGTTTCTATGTATCGATCTACCTTTCTATCTATTCATATATATATATATATATATATATATATATATATATATATATATATATATGTATATATATATATATATATATATATATATATATATATATATATATATATATATATATAGTACTTAGTGGATACCAGAGTTTATGTATAGTAGATACGAGAAGTTGCAGGAATCAGATCCGGAGCTTTTGCCCAAGAATAACTGTCGTTTCTCTTCACGAGAGAACTGATTCAGAATTTATTTTAACATGAACATTTTTAACATTTCACCTGAAATCATCTTCTCAACTTCGAAATAATTATTTAAGTCATAATCTGTTATCTAGTATATATATATATATATATATATATATATATATATATATATATTGGGGGTGGCATCAAATATGGATTAAGTCCGTTAAAATGATAGAATGATGATAAACATTTCTTTGTTTGTTCCTTATCCTATCATATCTGGTCTTTTGAACAGGAGTTTAACCATTGATTTCTGTATAGTCTTCCTCTTTCACTTGCATCTTAGTGGCATTATCGCCTTATGCGGTGAATTGATTAATATATATATATATATATACGTTTGCGTACAAGTTTATGACCCTTGTCTCTGGTTTCTTCAGTTTCTTTTTCCACTTTTCCTGTCCTAACCCGTTCTTTATTTCTTGTTCGCTGAAGCAGAACTTTTTTAAATGACCCGATCGACACAGAAAGTCTGAAACACATAAACTAATCTTTTTGTGTCAATAGCCTGACATGTAGACTGTTAAATATTCGCAAACAATTGTAGAAATAATGCTTATTATATCACATAAAATATTTTAAAACAATCCTTAGTGCGCATTCCAGCAGTGAATCCCATTGTTGATGCCTGATTCATTGTCCCAACGAGGAGAAATAACGAGATATTTCTTGGAGCTGAATGATTTTAATGACAACGCAAGTGAATGATGTCAATAGCAGCTTATTGATATTTATTGATGGACATTGCATATTTTGAAAAGGAAGCTGAGATTAAATTTTCTCATTTTTGGTGAAATTAAATCCATTTATTTGAGAATAAGAATTTAACGTCGATCTCAAAAATCAATACAATAGAAAAAGACAATGACCTTTCCGGCCTTGACAGAATTTAAAAGCATCAACGCGGACTTGATGGTGATGAATTATTTTTCAAACTGTAACGCCTTTCCTACATATAAAACTTTACAAGCTTCTCGCAACTCTATTGCTATTTCCAATGTTCTGATGAGCTGCATTCATTAGTTCCACAAATTCAGACATTTACAGCTGGGACCCGCCATGTCAGATTGAATTATACTCGTTTCATTCGCATTGCATTGGTAAGGAAGAAGATCCGTTCAGAAAGCTGCTTTCCAATCAGACTCCTGAGATGATACTTCCTCTATATCTACAAACTTAACCTTTTAAAGTCTATGGTGTATTATTATCTCTCCTATATATCTCATAATCAGCACCTCCTCCTCTAACATTTAGAAAACGACCTCACTAAGTAACCTTCTACATTGAGCGGCTCTTATATTGGTGAACAATAATGTAAAAATACAAACCTTTGTTTTCTTTGTTTCTTAAAGTTAGCATAATTGTGAAGAACCTTTTAAGCATAAATTGAATTTCATCTGAAGTCAAATAAATATTCAAAAGGAAAATGAATCACTTATATATGACTTTATGCAAAAATCGTCAAACATTTTAATTTTCATTATTTAGCCCTCCATCTTAATTATTGTTGACTTTTATAACTAAATTTAGGTCGATACATTCTTCGACCTTCCTTTTTATCTGAATTCTGGGATGGTTCATTATGGATATTACACCACAATTTACTCTGATTTTTATAATTATTTTTATTACGGCTTAGCTCAGAATTATGAAGCAAAAACTAACCACCGCTCTGTCGATTTCGAGTGACAATATGCTGACTGCATCCCCTGCACAAAAAGGAAGCACTTGTTGACCGTACCTATGTCTACATTGTAAACAGGACGCATGTCTACTTTTTAAAATCTCATGCAAATCGGATTTGTTATCTACCTTTTTGACTCTCGTGTAAACCGAACCTTTGTCTACCTATCTATTGTTTATCAAAACTACAGAATACAGGATTCAATTGTCTGGAAACGATTGATATTCCGAAAAGCGAACCAATCCAACATTTTCCAACCGTCGATCAATCAATATGATTTGACTTTATTTAAGAAACTCAAATTCTGTATATAAAAAAGTCAAAAGCTCACGAAACTGTGGACTTTCGTTATTTCTTAAGAGGTGATTCTATTATTTAATGATCCTCTCAAAAATGAATGCACAAGTGTTTTTTGATTACTTCTAACTTCAACCTTTGGCTTTCAGCTCAAAGCTTTGGTCATCTTTCTTCTGTGCCTAAAACTATTAGATGCTTATATTTAGGTTAATAACAGGGATTTGCAATAGACAAAAATAGTGATCAAAATGGGAACATGATTTAAGGGAATACTTTGTAGATATTGATATCTATGACTTGATCGCACCAATCATCTTTTCTGGATAAATGGAAAATTGACGACTTGTTGAGAAATAAGGGTGACCAAGGGCAAGATGCTCACTCCAAAGCTATTATTTGATCTAAGATGTTGATACATATTTATGGCATCATGCACTTTACCTGTTTCGGACAAATAACCCTTGTTAGAGTTTGAAATAAGTTTTCTTGTTATCATAGAGGTTGAACGGGTAACGTAGCGGTTATCGGCGCAGAAACGAGATCGATGAGCCAAGTTCAAAATCGGGTCTAATCTGTTGCGTTCATTCGTACTACTATCAATTTGCAAAGAGATAAAACAATCTCTTCATCCCACCAGCTATGGTTTAAATAGCAGGTTAGATATCTCTTCAGGTTTTGGTAGCAACCAGACTGTGAGATGGAAAAATTAAAAAGGCAGCGGAAATCAACTTTCTGCAAAAAAAGTCATGGCAATTCACAATTTAAAAACAAAAGGAATCGAAGAAGAGCCATGATCACCTACGTCCTGAGGGAGCGTGGAATTGGAAAAATATCATAAGTGGTAATGCGTGCTGCTATAAACAAATCATTTGATATACGCGTTTAAACTATAACGGCAAACAAACTCGGACCAGCTAGATTTAACCTTATATAACTTTAACTTTAGTTTATTCGAGAAGTTATGACATCCCACATATTTGAATAATTATTGCATTCCACTTTAGGGTCTATTAGAGACATTTTTCAGAGAAAGTTTACTGTCAATAGCTTACAAGATCATGATGCTAATCACCACGCTACAGGCTGCCTATGAGTGTGTTGTTTTGAGTGGATCTTGTGTTGGCGTGTGCTGGTTACGATGGAATTGGTGTGCTAGTAAAAATAAAAATGTATGAAATGACAGGCAGGAGGAGATATTAAAGAAGGGGAGGGGTAAACAGAAATAAAGAAAGAAAGAGAAGAAAAAAGAAAGGAACAAATGGAGGACCAATGAAAGAAGAGGGAGAAATAAAAAGAAGAGAGAGCAGAAGAAAAGGACTAAAGAAAGGGATATCCAGAAGAAAGAAAGATGTAAATAGAAAGAGAGGGAGAAGGAAAGAATGTTAAAAGAAAGGAAAAAAGAAAAGGAAGAAAAAAAGAAGAAAAGTAAGGACAAAATGGTGGGGTGGTGGTAGAAAGAAAGTTTATTTCGTTGGTATTCATCCACATCGCTCTGTACTGTTTCTGGGATACTTAGGTGCGACGCCAAGGCGCCGGAAACGCGTATGCCATGCCCAGTTGACCGTAATGGCGGAACAAAAAACATTCATAAAAAGAATGAAAATCTGATTTAATCGCTTGAATCGATCGTGTCCTCCACAAACCTACTCGTATTTACTTGGTCATTTTATATATTTTCTCTCTCTCTCTATCTCTCACTCTCACTCACTCTCTCTCTCTCTCACTCTCACTCACTCTCTCTCTCACTCTCACTCACTGTCTGTCTCTCTCTCTCTCTCATATAAACACACACACACAGAAGCATGAGAAAGTCTGGCATAGTGAGAGACAAATTCATTACAGCTCTAATACTCACCTTTATCCCACAGTGAGGCGACTACTTAAGCTCAGGATAGTCGGGCACAAAGACTTAAAAACAGTTCCATTGAACAAGCAAAAGATTATTAAACCAAATGCACCAGATGACTAAAGTATTTAGAAATGGCTATTCTGTCAATAGAAATGGCTATTCTGTCAATAGAATTCGTAAATATTATTTCCCTTCAGGGTGTAGTTAATCAAGACTCTTCATTGATTCATTTTCTTTATTATCTGTAAATTACCAAGCATTCTTGGGAGACACATCGAAGCGGTTTCTCCTTGCCTTTCTTACGGTTTTGAAATTCAGAGTTTTCCTTCTCCAAGACTATTGGCCACCCAAGGCTAAAAAGACCAGTCTACCTTGCTATTTAACACATAGCTGAGGAAGCAGATATGCATTTGTACGTAAGTGAACGTAACTGCCCAGACAGAAATTTAACTCGGTTCACTAAATTTAATTTCTGCACCGATATACGTTACACTAGCTGCTCATTTTACCGAAAAAAAAATATAAATATTCAAATATTTCTTTTTTTAACGTGAAAAACCTGTCTGCTTTACTTTGACAATAAGTATCCGAAATCCAAGATTTGTCTTGATCTCGAACCCCAACCGCTGGAGTGTGTGTAAAATGCCCCAATGTAGAATAACTAACTGAAATAACAAGGTTAAGCTTAATTTTTCAAAAGGCTTCAAAAGTTGATCTCCGAGGAGATGTAATTTGAAATTGTTACCTTTTTTTTCTCGGGTAAACTTAACCGATGTCCACCTTTTCCTCTCTCGGTCAAACCAAAACGATATCTAATTTTTTGTCTCTCGTGCAAACAATCCTATTTTACCATTTTGCACCCTGCCAAAAAAAAAAAAACTATGTTTACTTTCATGTCTCTCGGTCAAATCAAACTTATGGTTTCCAATGTCTACCATTTTGAATCTCATGCAAACATGAATTATGTCAACGTTTTTGACGATTACTCGTGAATTGTTGTCCTGGCCAATAATCAAGCAGGTGTTAACATTTGAAAACCACTAATCTAACCGAATAAAAAAAATCTCATGCACACATACACAAAGTAAACAAGTGTACACCCCCCGCACACATGTACAGAAACAAATTAGTTCATATATTTATTAATATAACAAAACAGTGGTTTACGCAAGAAAACATTTATCTTAATCAAAACAACGCCCTTCTTCTTTCTCTTCTTATATTCCTCTTTATTAACCAAAACTGATGTCCAGATGGACGTTTCAATCAAAAAGTGCGCTTCTATATACTCGATTAGCTATTTAGCCTTCCCCCAGCCTATTTTTAAAATTTTTGCTTCCATTTTTTATATTTATGTGCATATGTATTTGGGCAAGTTTCGATCATTATCTGTCTCGGCCTTATCGATCCTTCATCGATTAGCACACAATTGATTCTGAGTTCTTTTTTAGGGTCAAAGCCCTTATCATAATCTATATGGAACTTATTCGATTAGCGTTGAATTTACCAGGAAGCTTCGCCGTGAAGCAATGATCAGCAACCTAGACCAATATTACTGTAGCTGGTCCGATCCTCACTGCACGCGCATTTGTGACATTTTGACCGATTAAACGAAATGTAGAACTAATCTCTTATGAATAAACACAATAAGCGGATGCAAAAGTTCCCAGTAGTCATTTTTGGAAAATGAGAAACACGAATACACTGTTGAAAACTATTATCTATTTAGAATTTCTTTACGCAGCTAATATAAATGTGGCCTTCCAGGTGCACATCTATCTATCTATCTATCTATCTATCTATCTATCTATCTATCTATCTATCTATCTATCTATCTATCTCTCTCTATCTATATATATATATATATATATATATATATATATATATATATATAAGAAGCAGAGAGTCGCGAGAGAGTGAGATACACTACAGTTCATAATTTTGAGGAAACCATGGTAATTTATTAAACAGGTCCCAAAAGTAGTTGTTTAATAAATGAGAGAAAATTATTATTCATGGTTAAAAAGTGAGACATAAGCATTTTATCCTTCTTTAGCCTTGATTACTGCAGCACAAATTTTTGGAATTCGTTGTAAGAGTTTCTCAAAGTATAATTTTGATTATTGATTCCATTTTTTTCACTGACTCTAAGAGCTCTTTCTCGTCTTTTTTCATTCTTCTTTCATGTTCATCCTATGCTTTTGAACAGTAGTATATATATTGATATTAAAGACAAACAAAAACCGTTGGTAGAAGCAACGGACAACTTGCCAAAACCTAAGACACTTATCCAGATACAGTCTTGAATCAAACAGACAATAATGTAAAAAGAAAGAGTAAAAAAAAAAAAAAAGAAAAAAAGAAAAAAAAAAGAGGCTTAAAATCAAACTTACCTACGCAGTAAAGTGCTCGAAACCTAGTTTGCCTAGACCGGGTAAAAAACGATTACCAACGTTAAATACTTGTGAAAGAATGGCTCTTGTCGTAACTAGATCACGGTCATATGATCTCGGGCGACTTGAACGGCTGTTAAAATCGTCTGGACATATATATGGTGCGATGAATAAATTGTCATCTAAGTTACGCAAAATGAAAATGAAAATAACACTGGCATCTCATTTTAACAGATACTTTCACCAAAATTGTACAAATATATCTTGAAAATTTTCAATAACATCGCCATTAGCTTCAACCCCGGTCTCCAGACGACTTTGAAATTTCCTGCATCTCTTCTGGACATAATCTCCTGCATCTCTTCCGGACATGAGTGAGTGACCAACAAAACTCCTTGTAACACCAACTGAAAGCAATGATTACGCCCCACACATGATAATTAAGGGGTTGTTGTCTGGGGAGTTAGGTGGGCAGATGTAATGGGTGATGTGGTGGCAGAAATTGTCCATAACTGGGTTCTCCTGCTTGTGTGGCATGATGCAGAGTCCTGTTGCCAGCAGCACCCTTTTGAGCTGAGGCAGCACTTAACTCCTCAAAGCACTCGATGTAGGCCTCCGTATTGAGTCTGAGGTCCTGTGGGAAGATGAATGGAGGCATAACGTCGCCATCACTAGTGATCACTCCACACCCTATGATGCTGACTGGATATATCATCCAACTCTTTCAGATTGACACCAAAACGCTCTGAAAGGTTCCTATTGGAGCATCCGTTGCGAAGGCCAAGCAATACAGCATGGCGTTTCCAAATTTCTGTCGGAATGAATTGCATCATAGTTTGTTTTTTCGCACAGTTTAAGGTGCCCAACTGACACTACAGAGCAGTCTATAAAATCAAAAACAAGCAAAGCGCATGCGCGAAATTAAAAGTATAAATGGCGACAATTTTCTCTCTCTCTCTCTCTCTCTCTCTCTGTGTGTGTGCAAATATAGAAAATAGACAAGAACCGTGAGGTTAATAATCCAAAGTTGTTTAGTATTTTTGATTTTATTTTTAAAAAACAGTGCTCAATACATAAGTAGAGCCTAATATGTATATCCTTATAAAGACGTACATAATATGTATATGCTTATAAAGTACATAATATGTATATGCTTATAAAGAAGTACATAAGTAGAGCCTAATATGTTTATGCTTATAAAGCTCCGTAAATTTCAAGATTAGTTATTCCAAAATTCGCTTCAGGATGAAACAGAACTGTTTTTTTTTTAGCTTCTGGCTACAGTCTGTGTTATACTACAACACAATCTTCAGACCATTTCAATCCTTATATTTACATAGGCTCTATATCTAATATGGAGTACTTTTGCCTATAAATTTAGTATAACTTATAACAATATATTTTTTTATCCAGACCCACTTCCTTACATATGCCGAACTGACGAAAATTCCGAATTCATGTTCGTCAGGAAGAGAGCTTTTCAGCATCCCCTTGTATATTTATGCTTATAAATAAATCTGTATTAAGTCTTAAAGACGGCTGGAAACATTCAAAAATGATATTTATGTGTTTGTGCTTGTGCGTGGCTGTGTGTATGTGTGTGTATGTGTGTGTGTATGCTTGTATATATTGTAATCGGTGTATTTTTGTTTGCACATGTAAGTACTTGTTTCTTATCTACTTACATTCAGTGTAAAGATTCCAAATGACTGATTAAGGGGGAGCCGGGGGAAGCTGTGAGGGAACCTCATCAACTCACCATTTCCATCAGATTTCAAGAAAATATAATAAAATGGGAACAAAAAACTGAATGATATTATATTGCAGATGAATCAGACGTTAACAGATCATTTCGGGTGAGAGAGTATTTTATTGGGAAAGAAAGAAAGAAAGAAAGAAAGAAAGAAAGAAAGAAAGAAAGAAAGAAAGAAAGAAAGAAATGGTAGGAGACAAGAATGAAGAAAAGAAAAAGAAAAGAAGGAAGAAAAATAGAAAGAGAAAAAAGGAAAGAAAAGGAAAATTAAAGGAAAAGAGATAAAAGGAAAGAAAAATAAATGGAAGAAGAAAAAAAAGGAAACTAGAAGAAGCAAAGAATAAAGTTAAAAAAGAACATTTTTAAGGGTAGAAAGAACAATGAAATCGTAAGGAACCAAAAGAATTAAGAAATAGAAAGCAGTAAAAGCAGAAAAAGAAACAATATTGAGGAAATAATTAATCGGAATCTGAAAACGAAAGAGAATGAAGACGAAAGATAAACGTAGGTGAAGGAAAAGAGACGTGACTGAAATTCTCATTTGAAAATATTACTTTACCTAAAAAGAAGAAGCAAAAACAAAATAAGTA